GGCACGCGGGGCTCTACCCGCCCCTCCCGGAGCTCCGCGTCTGTCAGCTCCGCCATGGCCGCGGCGCGGACACCAGGCCCCACCGGAAGCGCTCTGCGAGCAGGGAAGCGCGGGCGCCATCTTGGGAGGGGCCGGCCGCACCCACTCGGGCGGCCATCTTGGGAAGGGCAAAGGCGGGGCGGATGCGGCCGCCATCTTGAGAAGGGAGGCGGGGCGGAGGCGCCATATTGAGAAGGTCGAGGGAAAGCGCTGCTTCCCGCTACCGTGTGAAGGCAGGGTTACAGAGACATCGAATCATCATAGAATCGTTAAGGTTGGGAAGGACTCTGAGACCATCGAGTCCAACCAGGGTCCCTGGTTCCACCATGTCGGGGAGGTCAGGGGCCCTCCCAGAGCGGGAATGGCGCCGGGCGGGAGCTGTTGCTCATCTCAGCAGAGGGAAAAGGGGGAGAAATGGAGCAAGCGAAGGGCAAAAGCAGCTTCAGCATCTGGGGCCGGCCAGTGTCACCACCCCATCGCTCTGGGGGACCCTGCTCAGCAGCAAGCAGGGGGGTCGAGCGCCTCTCACCTCCGACCAAGCCACACCAATGTTTTGACACTTTTAGGGACATTTATAAGGAGAAAGAAGTGTCTTTCCCAGCCACCTGCCACCCCCCTACACGTTTTGCTCATCCCTCTCATGGCTGCCAAGTTACAGTCGTGTAACTGGCACCCGTCAAGCGGGCTGGAGCTTTGCCACCGCTTTCGGCAGGATCGGGGTCTGGGGCCTTGGGATATTTGCCGGGGAAGGAGGTTCCTTGCATGCTTTGCAGCCTAAAAACGCAAAACCAAGCACTGACTTGAAAATTTATTTTGGCAAGGCAGTGATGTACAGTAATTGCTTTTTCTTGCTGCCGCCTATAAAGAAAGTAATGAAAATGACTGAAATACTGTGGCGTAATATCGGAATTTAATTAAAGATAATGAAAAAGTAGTGATGAATGCGTGCGGGCTGTCTGCGTGTCGCCGTTTTTATGATCGAGCACGATACCGGACTGGTGGAGCCGCGGCGGTCCCGCAGGAGCGGGCCCTGCACACAGCGGGAGCTGGGGGCTCCGGGACCCCCGCCGCTTGCTGGGGATGCTAAACTGTGCCTTCACGGCATCAAAACTTCCTTAGGGATACCCCTCCGCTCACGCTCACTTTGCTGCCGTGCCCTTCTTGTTTAGGGCATCCGGCAAAGCTCGCCTCCCGCTTCCCGATTTATGCAAGAACAGCAACGAGATGCTGAGATTTGTTAATCTGGTTAGCAACAACAGATACACACTTAGGAGGGGCCAGGGAGCCCATTAAAAGAGCATACTCAGTTCCGATGGGAAGTGTGAGCGTGCTAAGCCGAGCCTCCCCTGCTCACTAACTGGAAAGCACAACTGACAGCTAATAATTTGGAGCGGTGTCTAATGTAAACACAGAATTAGAACATGCTCTTAGTACACAGTTTTTGTAAGCTCGCAGCTTTCAGTTTGGAGACGCTCTGCCTAGACATGCAGATGCATGCTGGCATCTAAGCCTGAGCTGATGCAAGCTCATGAATTAAGTGAACTCCTCTTGCTTTGGAGAAAAAACACAATAGCAACAAAAAAACCACCAGCCCTTCAACTTCTTGTGTTTCTGGATGTCAGGGAAGTTACACCAGGACAGAGTTTGGCCCAGCAGCCTCATTGCATGACCTTCAGAGTGGAGAACATGGGAGTGGTGTTTGAGAACTGGAGGGGTGGGAAAAGCTGTGATTCCTTCGCAGAAGGGAGGCTGGCGGTGCCGATGCTCAGCAGG